TGCCTGTCTCATCCCCTGCTGCTCTTATCTACATTTCATCCAGTGTCAGTCACTCACAATTTCCCAAAGACATGCTCTTTCATACCTCTGTACCTTTGCATATGCTTTCCTGTTTGCTTAGAGTGGCTTTACTCTCTTGTTTTAGAAACAATATAGTATAGTAATTAAGAACATAGGCCCTGGAGTCAAACTGCCTGTGTTAAAATCTTAGCTCTGCCATTTTTACCGGTATGACCTTGGACAAGTTATTTAACCTCTCTGTGTCTTTCCTCATCTATAAAATGGGACTAATAATAATATCTGTTTTATTATGAAGTTATGAAGTTTACGTGAGTCAATACATGTAAAGTGCTTGGAACAGAGCCTGACACATGCTAAGTACTGTGCAAGTACTTGCTATTATCATCTACTGTATGAAATCCTATTTGCTCCCCATGACCTTGGTCAAGGGTCTCCTCTTTTATGAGGCCTTTCCTAACTACCCTTTTGTCCCCCAGATACAGAGCCAATCTAATTACCCCCTTCTTGTTGACCTTAAAAATCAAAGTTATTTTTACCAGCAAAAATGGATTTATTTGGGAATGGCAGAGAATTGCAATTCAAGACAAGCATGCTATAGCAAAAACTATAGGCAAGTCCAGCAAACAAAGGAGAGGAAACTTGATAGAGAAAAAAGAGGAAGTTGGGAGGGGGTGATTTGAACATAAGTCCATTGGAGGAAAAAAATTTCAAAGTGGTGATGGCTTCTCATTGGCTGAGTGTTGAGGGTTCCATTGGCTGGGCTTGTTGCTGGGCAAGTAGAAAAATCTTCCTTCCACCTGCTCAGGCAGTAATGTAGAGATACTTTCTGTAGGGCATGCAAGATACGGTCTCTTCCTGTTGGAGTCTATAATTGACATGGAGTGGTAGTGCCAGTAGTCGTGCGTGACAGCTCTTCCTTCTGGCCTCCCGACTCCATTTTAAATAAGGTTTCCTTTATTCAGTTTCACATTCTCTAAGCCATCCCTGTATCTTAAACATACCCTATTATTGCACTTGTGGTTCTATATTATAAGTGTTTCTTTACATGTCTAAGTCCTGCCACACTCTAGGCTTCTTAAAAGAGTAAGCCTTAATGATTTTGTGTCCCCAGTGCCTGGCACAAGGCTTGGCATATAGAAGGCTGCAATACATTTTTCTGAAAGACCAAATGAACTAAAACTCCAAAAGCATTGGCATGACATATGAGACCCTTCCTGTTCTGACCTAGTGAGCCTTGTCATCTCATCCCTTGTATCTCCCTGTTCACAAGAATACATTCCAGCCACACCCCATTTCTTGCTCTTCTCTGAATAAGCTATTCTCTTACATGTCTCCAGAGCTTTGAAAAATGTTGGTCCCTTTTCCTGGAAAGCCTTCCTCTCTTTTTACAGAGTGAATTCCTACTCATTTGTCAATCTACTCAAATACGACTTTCCCTGTGAATCCTATATTATAAATTTCACAGGGACCTTGGGTATTTTATTTACCTCTGTATCCTTGGACCTGTCACAGTGCATATTAAGTAGTCAATAAATATTTGTTAAATAAGTAATAGCTGAAATGCTTCCTAGGTCCTTTGGGGGAGTTAATCCCTCCCTCTTCAATACTCTTGTAGCACTTGGCTAAAATATCTGTCATAGCACTTACCTTACTATATTGTAATTATCTGATTACCTGTAGTTTTCCCCAGTCTGCTTTGAACTCCTGAGG